GACCAGAGGAGAGAGAAAAAGCTTTTTCTGCTCTCTCGCCCACTCAGCCCCACTCTCTCTCTCTCTGTCTCTCTCACTCTCTGTGTTTAGATAAGAATATTTCTGTATGAATGGACACATCAACAGCTCTGTTTGCTCTGAAAGCATATCTCTCCCATCCTTGCACTTGACTTGGTGATTATATCCTACACAGGGGAAAAAAACACACTGTATAATGTAACACGCTCCTTCTCTCTCGCCCACTGCACGCAAACATGGCCGTGGAAAAAGCTCTTCACCTCTATGCTTTTGCAGTTTGTGCTTGTTTGGTCAGAAATTGCCGTAGAATCCATGCCTTTCATACAGGAATGAGTGCAGGTGCTCAAGTAGGGAGAGCAGGGCCCAAACTAATGGGTTAAGATGTGAGTTTTCATCTAGTTATAGAGGTTCCAGTAGAATGTGCTTTTGGTCATCTTTAAGTGTCCTTGTAGCAATGTCATCTGTGAATTTTAACAGCGATCAAACAAATATTTCTCCAGATTCACCTTCAAGACTGTTTTTATACCATAAAAGTAACTTTTCATCACAAGTGTTTTGGAGTCCTGCATTCACTGAATTCACACTGCAAAAAATAGTATCTTGTCAAGTAAAACTATCCTAATTCTAGCTGATATATCCAATATTTCTTATTTTGAGATGGTTTTGCATTTATTATAAGATCATTCAGCTTATTTTTGCAGACATTTGTTACCTGTTTTAAGTAGTTTCATTAAGTAAAAAGATCTTACTTTACTGGCAGACAATCTATCTGGTTTCAAGCACATTTTATTAAAACAAGCAAAATTTTCTGCCAATATAGTGAGATTATAATAATTTTACTTAATAAAATTACTTAAAACAAGCACAAAAAAAGCAAGTTTGGAAAAAGCAACTGCCTAGCAGCATCCTGGCAACCACCTGGGATACCATTGCCACCTAGAAACACCCTAGCAACCACCCAGGATAGCATATCAACCACTTATGAACACCCTAGCAATCACCTGGAACACCATCACAACCACTTAGCAACATCCTAGCAACCACCCAGGATAGCACAGCAACCACTTATGAACACTTTAGCAATCACCTGGAACACCATTGCAATCACATAGCAACACCCTAGCAACCACACAGGATACCATAGCAACCACTTATAAGCACCCTATTAATCACCTGGAACACCATCACAACCACTTAGCAACACCCTAGCAACCACCCAGGATAGCATAGCAACCACTTATGAACACCTTAGCAACCACCTAAACATTCTAGCAACCACCCAGGATAGCACAGTGACCACTTTCGAACACCTAAATTACCATAGCAACTGCCTGGCAACACCCTAGCAACCATCTGGAAAATGCTTATGCTATGCAATCACTCTAAACATTTTTCAGGAATTGCATTTTCTTTTTTTTGTTTTTGTTTTTATTTTTCCTTCCTGTTGGTTAAGCAAATATTCACTCATTAACTCTTATGGATGCTTGAATATTAAAATTAGTCAGGATGTACATCTTTTCTTTCATATTTTTTTTTTTATTATTTGTCAAATATTAAGTTATCCACAAAATAAAATAACTTATAAATTCAAACTTAAAAAAATTATACAATTTTAAATAAAAAAATGCATATTATCCACGTTTGCCGCACAAAGAGTTTCAGGTCAGTCATTTCATCTTTTCTCCAGAACAGAATTTCTATAAATGTGCAAACAGTCAAATTTAACTTACAAAACTTAATCGAATGACAGGGAAAGAGAAGCTTCAACCGAAAAAAAAAGGACGAAAACCAAACATGCAAAATCAGTGGGCTGTGAGACATTTTGACAAATGTGCTTTCAGGAACATTTTTTTTTTTCTTCTGCAGGTAAAAGAACATCAGTGAAGCAGTAAAAATCCCCTCCGCTTCAGGTCGGGGTTCCCCTGTAGGAGCTTGTGCCTGAGGGAGCAGCTTTGAGCTGGAAGTTGTTGTTTCCTAATTAAGAGATTATAGCACTGCAAAAACTTTGAGCTCAGTGAGGATTACGGATTCATCCACTGTGTAAAAATGATGTGTTTACACTGGAGGGGAGCATGTTCGTCTGTTTAGGGCTGCACAGAGTATTGTTAATCGTTATCACGATACTGGCCTTTACCAAACTGGCACAGAAATCTGAGCCTCTAACCAATACAGTGATTACTGGGAGCATCCTGACCCATCACAGCTCCAGATGAGCTTGTGTGCCAGTATAATCCAACAAAATACAGTGTTTTGCTCAAAATACTCAAAAATTTATAAAACTATTTTGAAATCTGTTCAGAGTGGAGGTGATAGGAACCAGACGTCCAGCTCTAAAAGCTCCCTCACAGAAAGTTACTACATGAAATGGTTATGAATTCACTGCCTGATGACTGAGACGCTGTTTTAAGACAGTTTAATTATAATATTTGGTTAAAAAATGTTTTTAAAATCCATTTATGGTGGAGAGACACATGCAGGAGAAATTATTTTTTTTCTGATAAAACTCGTGTAGGTTCACTGGTGGTTTTGGATAGTAAATAAAATGTCTATATTTGTGTTGTAGTCATGGCGACCCCTGGTTCCTATCACCACCACTGTAAAGAAATATGTATTTTCTCCAATAAACAACTGTGTATGACTTTGTGACCATCTCAGTGATTAAATTATGCAGGAATTGCCCAAAATTTTGCAATTACCCTTTAACTAATATCATTTTCTGATACAATAATCCATTTTAATCTAATGCACAGTGCATTGCTATCAAAATATATAGCAATATAATCGCAATACTATTATTTTGTCCATATTGTGCAGCCCTAGCCTGAATCTTTTTTTACAGACACACCATGATTCCCTCATTCTACAGGCAAATTAAGAGGCTTACTGGTAAAGAAAGAAATATAAAACATATTAAATATCAGCTTAGGGAGGTAAGCAGCACATTATTACTGATAGTGCTAAAAATAACTGTTGCTTTGTGAATGAAAAAGTATTTTTAAACAGTTGTGTTCGACTTAGTTTGGCTGAGGAGTCGGTGAACAAGGTTACGGAGATGATCTTCAGCAAGGGTGTGGTCAGAAGACTGATTATACAACAACATCGGCTGACAGACATGGAGAGCTCTGACGAGCGTAATGGTAGTACACAGAAGGACGAGTGCAACCGAAAAACCAGCGTCCACATAAATCCACACGATGCGTCCACAGAGAGTTCGGTCCAGTTTCTTCACAGGAACGTTGAGGACTTGTGAGATCTCAGTAGGGTTGCAGGTATAAATAAATGCATAATGAGGGAACGCCTCCCCCACGTTGTGTTCGACTGCTTGCTCAAGAATCTCCAAAACCACTGATGTCCGTATTCAAAAAGCCTCAGCAGACTTGACCAAGCAGAACAGTCCTTGAGCGGATCAGTATTTTTACCTGCACTAGTGTAGTTTATGTAATAAAATGGTAGTACACACATGCTGGCTTTTCAAAGCTGGTATAAATGGTATATAATACCATCATTAAACTCAGAGTTTAGGAGTAAACTCTTTAACCAATGGCTCTGTGCAAAAAAATAGGGACAGTTAAACATTGTGTATCTTCCAATTTTGGCCTAAAGTGTCCAAAAATGCACTGCAGCGCTAAGACTGGACGATCCTGCTGTGACACTGTCGGGACGCCTGGCCTGAGCAGTCATTTGGGGTCCAACTTTGTTTTTTTCTTATTCTTCTTTTAGTACCGGAATTACATGCAGCTATTTTGTGCTATGAGCCATTATTTTCTTCAAATTTACACATTTTACCCCGAATGTGGTCGATCAGAAGTTTGGTTTGTTTTGCACTGGAGCAGTTGACTTATCCAGGCTCCGCCCATAAATATGTTTAGAGCAACTGTCGGTTGCTTGGACAAACTTTCATGCATTCAGCCTAATGAGAAACTGTGGAACAGACTCGGTTTATATCACAATACCTACACTTAGAGTCGGTTATTCATTCAGCCTAATGAGAAACTGTAGAACAGACTCAGTTTATATCACAATACCTACATTTAGAGTCAGTTATTAATTCAACCTAATGAGAAACTGTAGAACAGACTCAGTTTATATCACAATACCTACATTTAGAGTCAGTTATTCGTTCAGCCTAATGAGAAACTGTAGAACAGACTCAGTTTATATCACAATACCTACATTTAGAGTCGGTTATTCATTCAACCTAATAAGAAACTGTAGAACAGACTCGGTTTATATCACAATACCTACATTTAGAGTCGGTTATTAATTCAACCTAATGAGGAACTGTAGAACAGACTCAGTTTATATCACAATACCTACATTTAGAGTCGGTTATTCATTCAACCTAATAAGAAACTGTAGAACAGACTCGGTTTATATCACAATACCTACATTTAGAGTCGGTTATTAATTCAACCTAATGAGAAACTGTAGAACAGACTCGGTTTACGTCACAATACCTACATTTAGAGTCAATTTAAAGTAAATGAGCTCTGTTCTGATTGGCTGTACCTCATTAAAAAGGCAGTCCGAACTGAAACACTCATTATAACTTACGTGGATATATGTAAATGAGTTGGTTGATGACATCACAAAAGCAGTTAGTTTAAAACAAGCAGTTTTGCAGTCTAGTTTCCATATATGGGCTGTATGGATGGTACATTTTGAGGGTTTACATACTAAAACCTAACTAAAAGGGAGTCTTTTAATTTGTATGGGGCTTTTATCAGTGTTTTATCACAGTGTAAAGCTTGTCCAACTTCGCAACAACAGCTACAAAAAGATGCATTTATGGGCGGAGTGTGGATACGTGGTCAGTGGTTATAAGCCTCTATTACTTCTTATCTACATCTAAGCTTCGTAGCTCCAGCGTAAAACTAAAGAATCAAACATGTCTGATATTCTACACTCAGATAAGGGAAAAACTGTGTAAATTTGAATTAGAGACAAACTATTGCTTTAAAAAATAAGACATCGAGTTAACATTGAGTGCTCTATTATCAATAGACTCCACAATATATATATTTTTAATAACAACCTTATAACCTTAACTTATTTAATTTAAAAAATACTTTCTGAAATGACACACAGTGCAAGTCCAAACTAGTGTGACTGGACTTGTGGGGTGCACAGCTGGGGTCAAGAGCATGTCAGTCTCTTATGAGCTCTTCACCCAGTTTCCATTGGGCTGCTGGCAACAGCGCGGCGGCAGTCCATCGCAAAACAGGAGGCCTCAGTCTCTCCCTGTTATGAAACGTCTCTCTAGATATATATCATTTTTTATAATGTGTTTTGTGTCTCTTTGGTCCTCATTTGCAGACGCTGACCCACTCTGTTATCCTGCACTCCTCGCACACCACGTAGCAGCACCAGTGGAACTTGCAGTTGCATCGTTCGCTGCGCGTTTGCTGCAGGATGTTGTGTCCGCGGCCGCAGCACAGGCTTTCGCAGTTGTCCATGCCCTGGCTGGTCTTATTGCAGATTCGGCCCTGCGTCCCGGCCGAGTCTGACCCGGGGTCCCTCTCGCAGAAGTCCGGCGATTTCTCGAAGTAGACGAGGTCGTGGCTGTTGGCCCGTCTGCGGTGGTGCGGGTGAGCGTGCTCCACCTGCCCCGTGTTGCGGTTGTGGGCTTTGATTAACGTAGCCAGGTTGAAGCGCTCTTTCAGCAAGGAGCCCACCATCCGGAACTCAGGGGTCACCTGCCAACAGGTCTTCAGCTGGCAGCTGCCCGACGTGCCGTGGCATTTGCATTTCCTCCTCATGTGGTCCACCACAACCTGCAAAAAACACACACATGGCGCAGGAAACGCAGGTTAACGTCTGGCAAACAGCAGTGCTCCTAGCAACCAACCGCAGTGCAGCTGGGCAACGACTGTTAGAGCAGTTTGGTGGGGAAAAACAGCAGATTGGTTCAATTTGTATGCCATGTTTTGCTACTGTAACTAGAGCTAATGTCAGTTACAATCTGCAACATCACAACACTTCTGTACACTGTGGAAAGAGTTTTTAAACTTTAGGTAAGCAACCTGGCTGCCTTAACATTCTGAGTTCATTCACTGCAAAAAATGTCATCCTAGTGAATGAAAACATCTTAAGTTTAGCTGACATGTCTATTATTCATGTCTATCTATCACTATGAGGCTGCTGTAAGAGTATTATAAGCATACACAACCTATTTCTATACATTTTTACATGTTTTGAGTCATTTTATTTAGTGAATTCGTCATTGAATTTACATGTTTTGAGAAATAATGCTTGAAACAAATGACTTGCCAATGGAATAAAACACTTTAATAGTATAAAATGACTTAAAAAAGTAAAAAATGTCTAGAAATAAGTTAAATATTTGTATAATATTCTTACAACAACCCACTAATGAGGAATATTAGATATACTGGCTAGATTTAAAAAGTTTTCTCTTGCTAAGATGATGTTTTTAGTGTTCTGTGTTAAAATAATCAGTTAAAAGAATGTAACATACACATTATTGATCCGTTAACTTACTGTTAGATGTTGAATGAACTCAAAATTTTAAGGCCACTTGGTTACTTTGTTTAAGTTAAAACAACATCTCTTTTCTACAGTGTAGTTGTTCTGTGTTATTTGCTACTAGTTTTATCATCAATACATGGTACAATCATATGCAAAACCATCGGTCAAATGACGTTTTGTTGATTTTCTAAGTGAAAATAAGTTAACAATTCCTTCAAGGAGAGCAACATTTTGGACAAAAAGCATAAATATAAAGTGTGCCATAACTTTTGCACAGGCCACATGTTATTTTTTATTCAATGTGTTATGTTTTTACTTTTTCTTAATTATGTTGAAATCAGTAAATAAACAGTAGTTGTGTATTAAAATGTTCTTTATAGACAATGTGTTCACTATTTTTGTGGAATTCTACAAAACATGTCACCAGAGGTGCACATACTTTTGACTGCCTTCAGTTATACTGTATATAAATATTCAGCTGCATTAAAGTGCTCATTTACAAACCCGGTGTTGTTGTTTATTTCTATTCTAAGTGTCTTACCAGAGATTTAAATACGTACGTGAGTGATTTGCACACTTCGTTTTGTTGCTACTTGTTGCTACAGCTTCTCTACAATCAAACCGCTCTAAATGACTTTGTTTACATCTGATCAATCGAATTACGCAGAAAATCAGTGGAATTCCCCTTTAGCCAAAATCATGTTAGTGATTCACCAGTGCAGTGACTGATATCTGCTCATGTCAGTAGTCATTAAACTGTTGTAAACAATGTCACATCTTGCTAGAATAATGCCACAAACAAATCGCTATAAATAGAAAACGTTGTTGTGAGTCACCGTTGGACCTGTGCGGCTCTGCATGACAAGGCCAAGTTCAGCGTCTGGCTGAGGAAGCCCCTCCCTTCCTTTCAACAATGCGCTCATCTGTCAGCCCCAGTTATAAACTTTCAGATCCAATTACCGGGAGGAAGAGAGGCCACCCTTAGTACTGACAGACACTCCAGCACCCGCCCCTATCAACAGCCTCTGCACAAACAACCCCCCGCCACTGCTCTCCCACATTCTATAGCCCCCCCACCTCACAGCCGCCCCGGGACACAGCACAGCTTGAACAGCTTGAGAGATAAGTCGAGTTTTGTCTGTCAAAACTGAAGGATTGGGTTTCAGTTGTGTGAGCAGTTGCCGCTTAAAAAGACGATTGCGTTATTTTCTGTCATTCGGCCATGGTTCAGCCTGGGTGTGCTTTCCCTTACATGAGGGTGGAGCTCAGGGTTGGATGGTGGACTGCGGTAGGGGAGTTGTGGGATAGAGGGGTGGAATTTGGGGTGGTGTATCGGAGTGGTGTGATGGCGTGGTTTTGCATGAGTTGGGGTAGTCGGATGGTAGGCCCATAGAATAGTGGGTTATTTGAGTGGTGATATACCAGGGTCATAGGTCAGTTAACACATGGGCTATTGGGTTAGTTGGGTGAAGGGATGTTGGTGTGTTAGGCTGGGTGAAGGGGTATTGACTTGGGTGCCTCACTGGGACTGGGTTAGTTGGATGTGGGGTATTTGGTTAACTGGGTGATTGGTTATTGGGCAAGTTGCATGTTGGGCTATTGAGTAAGCTGGGTGATGGTGTGTTGGGGTAGTTGAGAGATGGGACGCTGAGGTGTTGGGTTAGTAGGTTGGCAGGGTGTTGGGCTATTGTGTGGTGGGATGTTGGAGTACTGATTTAGTTAGGTGCTGGGGTATTAAGTTAGGTTTTGGGATGGTGGATTAGCTGGTTAATAGGATGATTGGTAAGCAGGGTGATGGGTTATTTGGCTAGTTGCATGTTGGGGTATTAGGCTAGCTAGGTGATGGTAGCTGGGGTATTGATTTAGTTGGGAATGTGATGATGGTTGGTTAATGAGGCATTGAGTCAGCTGGGTGATCAGGTATTGAGTTATTTGGGTGGTGGAATGTTGGGCTATTGGGTTAGTTGGGCGATGATGTACTGGGCTAGTTGGTGTATTGGATTATTCGGATGGTGGGGTGTTGCGGTATGGGTGATGGGTTAGTTGAGCTGTTGGGTTGAGTGATGAAGTATTGGATTACTGGGTTAATTGCATGTTGAGGTATTGGGTTAGCTTGGTGATGATGGATTGGGCTAGCTGCATCTTGAGGTATTGAGTAAGCTGGGTGATGCAGTGTTGGGGTAGTAGAGAGATAAGATGTTGAGATTTTGGCTTAGTTAGCTGGTGGGATATTGGGCTGGTAGGTGAGTTATGTGGTGGGATATTGGAGTATTGGGTTAGTTTGGTGCTGAGGTATTGGCTTAGTTGGTTAGAAGGCTGACAGGGTGGTGGGTTAGTTGGTTAATGCCATACTACTGGTTCAGATGCCTGATCCTATCTATGGTTTTCTCCCATTGTTTCTTACTTAATTCCATTCCAACCCACTGTTCCGCTGCATTCTGTTATCAGCAGCTCTTTAAGTGGGAGGTCGCCCTAACCAGGTGTCAAACACCCACCCACCCTCGGAGGCATCATGAATTCTTTATGCTGTGGTTTATGTGCTGGTGGCTTGTTCTCGAGACCTCTATCTCCTGTAGGTATGAAGACTGACTCAATTTACCTAAAAAGGTCCTTAACAACGGCTATGAGAGGAAGCGGTTTCCATTTAATGAAGCGGATAAGCAAATGAAATCAGGCAGTCCAGGCCAAAGCTAACAACAACCGATCACAACAAACCGTCCAAGCTGCAAGTAACATGTCACACTTCAAAGCCTCTTATACTGATTTTGCATATCCAAACACAAAAGTCTCAACACAATCTCTCTTTCCATCTGTGGTATGCTTAACACTTTATGCAGATCAGCGTGGGCGTATTTTATGATCAGGATAATCATGGCTAATCATTGCAGGAGATGGGAGACATCCTGGGGGAAGCATTTGCAGCCGCCCTGAGGACAAATGCCCAGTGCTCTGTGCTTACAGCCAAATATAGATATTCAAATGCCTCCAACTTTGAACCCGGAGGATCGGGTGGAAATTTAACCCTTAGAAGTCTAGAGTTATTACTGTCATTTTGAATCGTATTAGATTTACATTTGACAGGTTTGGGTCAGCACTCTGGACTTTTTCTATTTGTTTCAATGTCAAAACTGACAAAAACATGGCAGAATGCAAAGAACAGCTTTTCTTTCAGCAAAAAACTAAGTCCTAATAAAATATCTCCTCTTCTACTTACAAACCTGCATTTTCCAGTGAACTATTGGTCATAAATATTTCACATACAATTGCAGTGTTATCGCCGTTGATAACTGCCACTTCTAAAGGTTAAAGCTGTCACCTCCAGCCATTTAGGAAGTGGACCTGCCTGAACTTGCCCTGTGTGGTCCAGGCTTCTCTGATCAGACCAGAGATGGTGGCTATGATTGCAGCCTTTTCCTCGCTGGCCTGGCCCCAGCAGCACCTGGGGGCAGGAGGGTTGTGGGCGCATTCGGCCAGGGCAGGATGTGGGACAGAGAGAGAGGAAGTGCTCTGTGAGTGGCAGCAGGACGATCTACAGTGGATCTAAATGCATGAGTGCTGACCTGAGGGACTGACAGTATCAAGCTGGAGCCGCAGCTCATTCCTATGGCCACTCGCTCTCAGCCACGCATTCAATATTTCTCATTTTATTAGGTTTTTAGATGGTAAAACATATTTTGATGTTCTGTTAGGGTAAAAATGCATTGTGATACGTTATTCTGAAGGCAGTGATTCTACTGTGGCAATTTTGGCTATTTTCAAACCAAAGAAGGTGAATTGTTTTTATGATCTATACTTCACTACAGTATAGCTGGTTCTTCTACAATTGAGTATTCATGAGATTTTGCCAAATAATTTGAAATCATGCCAAAATAATGGAATCAGAATTTGAGATCTCATGATGCACTGAATCATTCCCAAAAGAATCACAGTCAAATCATCTCATTTAAGAAAATCAATCCAATTCTGCTCTGCAGAGAATGTGCAGCCTTATTTTTACTTCCTGCTTGTTCTGAGATGATTTCCTCAAACCCACATCCTTGTGTACCCTGCAAAAAATGGTCAGGTAAAATGATCTTATATATAGGCAAGAAATCTAATTTCTCCTGTTGAGATTATTAAGCAACTTTAAGATTATTTACCTTATTTCTAGACATTTGTATTGTTTTCAGTAATTTTATTAAGTAAAATTATCTCACTATATTGGCAGATAATTATGCTTGTTGTAAGAAATGAGCTAGAACCAGCAAATTTTGTGCCAGTGCAGTGAGATAATTTACCCTAACAA